CAACACGGGGGCTAGCACCAGAGGTGGGTTGCTCCCGGTTCAGCCCGGATCTGGCAAACCTGTAGCAGCAGCAGTGGGAGGCTCAGCCCACCCACTCAGAAGCTTCTGCATATGTGCAGAAGTGTCGTGTGCACACACACACACGTGGGAGCATGCCCGAACCGGTAGTAAAAAAATTGGCAACCCACCACTGACTAGCACACTATAACTAGAACAGATTTGATTCTTCCACCCATGCACTCTGCATTGGATTATAGATTATTTAGTAGTTTCTGCTGCCACCACTATTTTTCTGGAGGAAGAAATGCTTTAACCAGGTTCTTCTTTCATACCATCAGCTTAGAGCAGGGCTGTCAAACTTCCAGCCTATAGGCCAGATGTGTCAAATGCTGCCCAGGTCCAGGCCCAATTTAGCGAAAGGGGGGGGAGTTTTGATATGTCATTTGACACCACTGTGATGACGTGAGTTTGACACCCCTTAGAGAGTCAGAGCAGGAAGCTCTCTCCTCCTGATCAATTTCTTTACTCCATAACTAAAAATGCTTCTGCTGCTTCTGCTGCTACCTCTAATAATAATAATAGCCATCCAGTTATATAGTATCAACTCTGAACCATAGTATACAGAGGTACAATATGTATCCAGAGAACAACAGCTCTAACTTTTCCTGTCAATATAAAAATAAAACAAAAATAAAATCAACCTTCTTGTTTGAATATGGGCTTTATTAAAAAAAAAAAAAGAAAATGGAAACAATGGTCAAATGCCCAAACAATTATACATGTATGGAATGAAATATTTATCACTGATACTAACAGTGTCTCAAACATCACTTTGGTATTTAATGCTATGGGAAGACCGGGGTGCAGATTCAACAGTGGGAACTGAGCTCAAAAAGCTTAAGATAATGAAGAGCATCAGAAGCAAATTTATCAATACAATTAACAGATATTTCCAAATATCAGAATGAATAAGGCAGACTAATTGCATAATCCAAATCTAATGTTACTACATTTTTAGTTTATGTGAGAAACCAAATAACTAAAGGTTGTCTGTTTCTAGTTTCCATCTTTTCAACCATCTTGCTTTCTTCTTTTTACAGAGGTTCTTCCTCCTTTGTCCTTTCCCAGGTCATCTTCCAACTCCTTATTCATTTGCTTCAGACAAAGTTTTTGACGCTTAAAACATCTTACTGGATAAGCCCAGACATCTTTTCTCCATTCCTTGGAAACTAGGATTTTGCAGTCAATGTGAGTCTGGGAGACAATTAGACCATAAATAATAATTTTAAAAAATCCTGGAAAAGACCATCTTTACAGTGTTCTGCTACTAAGAGTTAGACTTTACTTGAGTTAAAATTTTTATGATCTTTCCACAGATTGCTATCAAAGACCTACATTTTTGCCCCTCTGATTTACAAATACATTTTTAAAACTGTTGAATGAATTAAAGAAAAAACCATATGTAATCCTTCTAATTAATGATATTTTTTATTTCAAGATGTGCTGGAAAAATGCAATAACATTCTTTCCCAAATATTGCTCATTAATATATTTTTCCTTACAGTTTTTTTTCTGAGTGGCAGGGCTGCATGGTAAATTTATCAGAAATATAGGGAAAAGCCACATTGTTGTTTATAAGAATATATATTATTTAATTCATTTGAGGTGAAATCTTTTCTTATATGTCAAAGGAAGAAAGAAGTTCCAAGTGACATTCAATGATTTTATTGTACCACTATAGTTTGCCACACGCTGAGCCTCTTTTGAAGACATGTTACTGATTAGTAGTGAATTTCCTGAAAACATTTATGTATTCATGTGGAAACTGAAGTAACAGGAAAAGTCTACCTCAACAACGTAACAGCATACTGAGCATAACAAGACCTAACAGACTACCTCCACAATATATTCTATCACAGTGTAGAAACTATGTACTCTTTCAATTGTAAGAAGCATGATAAATAGAAAACATCAGAATCCTAAAATGTAGATACAAGCCTTCTCTATAAGTCAGCAAGATAGATAGATAGATAGATAGATAGATAGATAGATAGATAGATAGATAGATAGATAGATAGATAATAGATAGAT